CCCCCCACCATTAGCCCCTCGCAGCCCCGGCAGGAATTCCTGTTGAATCAGGCCACGTCACCCCTGGAGCTGGCTGCACCACGTGCGGCTCAGCCTGGTGTGTGACCCAGCAAGGAGCTGGGACGGTCGGTACCTGATACGCCATGGGCGACGGGGTCGGGTGGTAACTGGCGGGTGAGTGGGTGTTCTGGTAGCCTACAGGGCTAGGTGCCACCTGGTGGTAACTCTGCGGGCTGGGGCTTGGCTGATAGGAGCCCTGAGGAGACGGAACAGCGTACGGAGAAAACTGGTCGGTGTTGTACCTGCAGTGAGAAGAGACCAGCAGTGAGGCGGGGGGGCAGGAACCCAACTAGGAACCCAACAGAGATCCCCCCTGCCTAGCTCCGTGTGCAGGGGTGTGTGCACTCACATGGCTGGGGTCCCCGGCGTCTGCGGATTGTAGGGCGGATTGACCTGTGGAGACGAAGGGTCGGGGTAGCCGGGAGTCTGAGGATTGGGGGTCCCTCCGTAGCCTTGCGGAGAGGGCGTGGGCTCGTCATCGAAGCCGTATTCAAACTCCTCCTCCGCCCTGGGGGAGGAAAACATCACTCGCACAGCCCCCCCAGCCTGCTGACGTAATCCCCCCACCCAGTCTCCACTCTCCAGCAGAGGGCGCCGCACTCACGTCCAATCACAGTTCCCCTGGAGCTCATGTCACATGAAGCCCCCCAACTGAGCCCCACTCCACAGCCCCAGTCATGCCATGCACCTCTGCCCCCTACTGGCTGACCATGTCAAAGCCACCCTCTGCCCGCCCCAGACTAGCGAGAAAGGCACGAACCTGGAGGGTGTGTTGGGGTTGTTGGGATCCCAAGCCCCGCTCTGCGCAGGCGTCCGGCTGCCATCGTGCAGCGGCGTCTGAGAGCCATAGTGTGGGGTCCTGCTGCCTGAAAGAGCCCCGAGCGCGCCTGGTTAGCACTTTTACCCAGGCAGCTGAGATGGGAGGGGCCAGGCCTACCGCACCCTGCTTCCATCCCGTCCCTTGCCAGGTTCTGGAGCAGGTCTGTGGGGCTCCCCATGGCAGGCCCAGCTGTGCAGGACACAGCACAGAGCTGACTGACTGTAGGGGGTAGCCCTGTTCCCAGGGAGTCCCCCAACCTTGGCGCGCCTGGTTAGCACTTTTACCCAGGCAGCTGAGATGGGAGGGGCCAGGCCTACCGCACCCTGCTTCCATCCCGTCCCTTGCCAGGTTCTGGAGCAGGTCTGTGGGGCTCCCCATGGCAGGCCCAGCTGTGCAGGACACAGCACAGAGCTGACTGACTGTAGGGGGTAGCCCTGTTCCCAGGGAGTCCCCCAACCTTGGGAGGCCGCCGGGTCTCCTCGAACCCCTGCCAGCGAGAGAAGAGCTGCTGTCCACGGCTCGCTCAGCCCATTGTCCCAGGGCCGATCCCTGCACCCAGAATGGTCCCCCCAGACCCACTGCCATCACCAGAAGGCCTCAGCTTTCCCCGGAATGAGGCCAGTCTCCTCGTTCTCAGCCTCTGCTGAAGCTGACAACAGGATGGTGCAAAGTGGGCATGGAACTAGGCCAGTCTCCCACCAGGGGCACCAAGCCGCCAGTCACGACCCAGCCCGGGCCCTAGAGGTCAGCAGTTCTCTAGCCCAGGGGCCACCACAGTTCCTCTCCTCCAAGGGAATTTCCCCTGCTTCCCTTCTGCCGGGGGGAGACTCAGGATCTCCTCTGCCCCCTAACTACAGAGCTGGGCCTAGACAGGATGGATCCCTGGGCAATTGCCCTGTTCTGGCCTTCTCTCTGAAGCACCTGGCTCTCGCCCAGTCTCCGGTCTTCCCACAGTGGCCAGAACCTCCACTGGCCTGAGCCATATGGCCATTCCGTTCCTAGTGTAGCAGCTTCTAGGCACCCGTCCCAGCCCAGCCCCCAGCGTGCCAGGCGCTGTACAGTGCGATCGTTAGTGCAGCTACCTGCCCAGAGCCAATGGCAGCTTGTGGGGCCCCGGCCCCGTCTCCCCCGCCCACTGCACTTACACGGTTGTGAGGCGCTGGCGATCCACTGAGATGGTCTGGCAGGTGGAATGGAGCTCCACCCGGGCCGTGGACTCCGTGGCATCCTTAACCACCCCGATGTAGCCTGAGAGAGACAAGGCCTCAGCTCTCTGACCCTGACGCAGCTCCTGGAGCTCACGTGTATCCCAGCATCACCAAGAGCCGCCTGGGAAACGGGTTCCCAAAGCCAGAGGCGCTGGCGATCCACTGAGATGGTCTGGCAGGTGGAATGGAGCTCCACCCGGGCCGTGGACTCCGTGGCATCCTTAACCACCCCGATGTAGCCTGAGAGAGACAAGGCCTCAGCTCTCTGACCCTGACGCAGCTCCTGGAGCTCACGTGTATCCCAGCATCACCAAGAGCCGCCTGGGAAACGGGTTCCCAAAGCCAAGTGCCCATGGCCAGAGCTCCAGCTGGGCTTCAGAGCTCCCTTATGGGGTGGTAAGAACCTGCTGAGAGCTCAGGGCTCCCCGGTCCTCACTGCACAGATACAGGGAGGGGCAGCCACAGGCTGGATTTGAACTTGGAGCTCACCTTAGGGCAGGGCCACTACTAGAAGAGACGAATCAGGCACTCAGGTGTGGGGGCAAAACCCAGGGGTCCTGACTCTGCATGCTAACCACTAGCCCTCACTCCCCCTTCAGTGCCAGGGATAAAACCCAGGAATCCTTGCCTTCCCAGCTCTAAGCACAAGACCCCATGCCTCTCCCACAGCCTGTAACACAACCTATCACCTTTGTAAGGTCCTTGGGAGATCCGCACCGTCTGTCCAATCAGGTCATTGTCCCTGCGCCCACGGCCCCGGCTCATCCCACCTCCGCCAAAGCCACCTCGCTGACCTGAAGAAAGGGGGCAGAGATCAGAGCAGGATGTGCCTTCAGCACTGCAGCCTCGCGTCACCCCAAGTCAGATCCCCCCGCATGGGACTGCAGGTCACTGCAGCGCGGCGCCGACATTCATGTGGGGCCAAGCTGGGGGTGCTACAAACAGCGGGGTGAAACAGAACCTACAGCTGTCCCCAAACTGGGCCCAGCCCCACAGGGCACCCACCTGCCGCACTGGGGTGCATGGGGCTGCTGATCCGAGGACTCATGGGGGCAAAGCCTCCGACGGTGAAGTTGGTGACATCCCGGGGCTGCAAGAGGGAAAGTGGGTGAGAGCAGAAAGGGAAAGCTCTGGAAGAGCTGGGGCTCCCCGGGGAAGGGAGGCATCTCTGGGTTCATCTCCCCCAGGTGCAGCTGGGAGGGGGGGAGGGAAAGTCCCGCAGGGGCCGAAAGACGAAACCTGGCGAGGAACCAAGAAGTCAGGATGACACAAGGGGACACTGTTCCCCCAGCACCAATGAGGATAGACTAGATCTATGCCCTGGGAAGAGAAGTCTGGACTCATTCTCCACTCCACCCAGAGGGGGCACTGGCTCCACCCTTCCCCATCAGCTGCCAGAGGACACCGCCCACAAGGCGAACCGGCCTGATTCCTTACCTCGCCTATTAACCCCATTTCCCTACCTCGCCCCCAGGCTACGAGGGAGAGATTCACAGGGTCACACCCAGCAGTCCTGCTTCACACAGCCATGAGCTAGCCGCTCTCGGTTGCCCAGGGCTGCAAACGGTCACGGTTAGGGGCAAGGAAGGACTGCCAATAGAAATCCACTCCTCCCAATGCACCAGCACTAGGTGTCGCTGCCTTTGAGGCATCCAGAAACAGCTGACAAGAGTCAGGATCAGGGACTAGGCAGCCTGACTCAGCCTCATGGGGATAAGGAGGCAGATATGGGACAGCCCACCCCAGTGCAACAGGAAGGCAGGACAGGAGACTGAAAAGCTCAGTGCTCTGCTTCAGGCAAGTCCCACCAGCCAATGGCGAGTCGCAGGGTCTCCTTAGGCTCCTCACCTTGGAGCCCCCAGCCAGCACCAGGTGGCGAGTCTTGCACACAAACATGCCCCCATTCTCCACCAGCTTCTTGCAGTGCAGGAATCCAAAGCCGCGGAAGAGGTGCCTGATCTCCCCCTCACGACCCTGGGGAAGAAGCAGGGAGGAGAGTTATTCCTGGGACCCCCTCTAGCCCAGGCTGCATCCAGAGCCCAGCCGCATGGCAGGGAGGGCAAAGCCACGGTCCCCCGGAGCAGGGCATGTCACAGAGCCAAGAGGCAGCCCAAGTTCTCAGTCCCCGGGGGCTGCACCTTGGCACTGGCGCAGTCCGAGAAGGGAACACCTGGCCCACCACTGCAATGCAGCCCCCTCTGGAAGCAGCTGCTAAGCAAGGGATTAGGACAGGAAGTGAAGAACAAATCTGTTCCCAGTTGCAGGGGGAATCCAGGGATGGGGAGGGAAATTAACCAAGTCTGGAACACAGCCAGAGCTCT